ATACATTTTGTTGAATGACTTGTGAATGTCAGGGATGACTTATTACCTTCAGCAAGTTTAAAAGGAAAGCTAATATGATTTCTTATAGTAAAACCCTCTGTGACAGCTGCTCCATAGAGTCGATTACACTGCTGTGAGCTTTCCAGCAGACTTATTTTTCACACTCATGGGGAATTGGGAACATGATGAACAAACATCTCCATAGTGATCAAGAGCTGGTTCCCCCTCCCGCTTTCCTTTCCCTCAAGCTGGGGAATTACTCTTTCCCAATGTGTGTGTGTGGTGGGGGCAGGGGGAGAGCAAATTTAAGACTGGTGGGATCTGTGTTATTGTTTGTTTTGTTTTTACTAGAACCAAGAGGTTCACCAAAAGCCAGTTTTAAAAAGGGAGTGAGGGGTTCAGGAGGGAGACATAAGCAAAAAATTAGGAAGGGGTTGCCTCTGAATACACATTCAATCCTGGGCAGATGCCTGCTCCTCCTTCCTTCCTTCCTTCCTTCCTTCCTTCCTTCCTTCCTTCCTTCCTTGAGCCAAATTTAGGGTGGGGAGCTGAAGAACCTTTTCCAGTCTTGAAGGCCACATTCCTACATATGTAGCTCCAAAGGGTGGTGCACCACACTAAAGGCCCGATTCCTACTTTGCACAGAATGGATCTCCTGATGGGATGGTATCTGTCAGAGGCCCTCTCCTGCAAAGCACTATGGTCATTTGGGTATATAAAGTCTGAGACAACATTTCAGGTAGCTTGGAAATACTGAGACAATCCTGAGACAATATTTCACGGTTGTATTTATATCGTTACCATGAACCATTATACATTCCAGGCCTGGGAATATTTGTGTTTGTTTGTTTGTGTGCATGCTTGTTTTTCTTTAGAAAAATGTGTAGACTGCTTTATCAAAAAAAAGCCCCTAAGCCATGGGTAGGCAAACTAAGGCCCGGGGGCTGGATCCGGCCCAATCGCCTTCTAAATCCAGCCCATGCACGGTCCAGGAATCAGTGTGTTTTTACATGAGTAGAATGTGTGCTTTTATTTAAAATGCATCTCTGGGTTATTTGTGGGGCAGAGGAATTTGTTCATTTCCCTTAATCCGCCCCCCCCAGAGGGTCTGAGAGACAGTGGACTGGCCCCCTGCTGAAAAAGTTTGCTGATCCCTGCCCTAAGCTGTATACATAAAATAAAATAATTATCAATAATACGCAGATAAAACCATATCTCTATCTCTAGATCTATGTATAGATATATATATATTATACGTACCTAATTTTATGCCTGGGTAGGCCTAATGGGGGGAGTAGTTCTTAGCAGGTGCCTAAAACAGTACAACTTGGGTGCCTGCTTAGTGTTAATAGGCAAGGAGGCGAAACAGGACATGCTTTCTCTGGGACCTGTACTACATCAGGTACAAATAAGGATCTGGAGGAGCTGATTATTGCGGAAAATCAGAACTCTGGGATCGGACTTCCGGGTTGGCGCCACCGGCAATGGCGGAATTCCTCTGATCGGGAGGAATTTGCCTCGTGGAAATTCGGGTCTGGCCGCCACGGCGAAGGCGGAGACCCATTAAAAATCACAGGCGGTTGAAGCCTGTGAACGTGGGATTCGGCGGGCACCTTTTGTGCCTCCCCTACTCGCGGGGAAACCCGATTTCGGGGATCCGGAGCGATGTGGGGTGAGCGGCGCGGTGCTTCGGATTGACTGCTTCTTCCACGAAGCGAAGCCGCATAGCTGTTGCCGGAGAGCGCTGACTTTTTCCTGTGGACAATTTGATCTTAAAGCAACTACCCGTGAGTAGAGTGAAGAATTGGATTTTTAAACGTTTTAATTTGGCACCGAAACGGGGAGGTTCAAAACAGGAGGTCCACCTCCCCTTTTTGTAAATAAGACTGAGGCAAAGAGGCTGCAAGCTAAAGTCTTGGAAAGCCCATTGTAAAGGACTAAATTCTCATCAGTAAAAAATATTAAACCCCCCTTGGAAGCAGGAGAAGAGGGGGGAGGCTTTGGATTGTATATTCCTGCAGGAGTGAGTGAGGAAGTTAAAATACCACCGTTCCGAACCTGGAAACGGGCTGCCAGTAAAACCGACGTGCCTTGGAAGGTTCTTTGACAGCGAATAGAACGTTCGGTGACAGCTAGCATAAGAGAGATACATTGTTTCCATTGTCTTCGTCTGCACTTAAAAAGGAGTAAAGTAACGGAAAATTGAAACAATCTTACTGAACTTTATTAAAAAAGGAGGAAAGTAACTGAAAATTGAAACTCATTTTGGATTATTGAAACTGTGTTTAAAAGAGGACATACTGACCGATACAAATACAACTCACTTTCCCCTAGTGGAAGTTTTTGAAATTTACTTGATAGGAGCTGCGCTAGGGGATTTTCCAGCTGCAAGATAAGAAAGTGTGAGACTTTGGAATTGACCTTGAATCTTTTAAGTGTTATGGCAAACGGAAAGGAAAAAACAGACGGGATGTCGACAGAGGAGGCCTTAGTGGCTGCATTATTGAAAATAAACGATTCGCTGGAACAACTCCACAAGGAAATAGATGCGAGAAATGTGAAATTGGATGTTGCAAATATTGAAATTGATTCAACTGTAGAAAGCTTAAACAACTTGGGACAAAAGGTGAATACTAATTCAGAAACCACTCAGAAACTGACACAGGAATCTACTTTGATATGGCAAACTGCAGATGAAGTCAGGGGAAAAACCCTTGCTGCTGAATCTAAAATAATACAACTGGAGAGGAGAGTCCCATCCATACAAAGACAACCTGACGAACATAAGTGGACATTCGTTATGATTGAATTTAAAGAAGAACGGATGAATTTGAGGACCAGAGCCCTATCTGAATTGGAAAAGGAAAGCTTGACAGAGTTTCAGGAGGCGATACTAACATTGGTTGAGAAAGAGAGGCATTTGGGGGTTGATATGACTGCCAAAAATGTGAATCTGCTTAAGGATAACTGTGAAGGATGTTGGATTGAAGAGAAGGGGGATTTGGAAATATGGACAAATCAGAAGTTGTCACTGTTGGGCCGAGTTATTGTGGTGGGGATGAGGGCTGCTGTGTTGTTGGGGATGTTGCTTTTGTTTCAAACACTGCAAGCTTTGGATGAGATGGAGGGTTTTAAGAGGTGGCAGAGGGATGCTCCTAGAGTTGTTTGGCAGGACAGGAAGCCTTGAGTAAAACTTAAGATATTGATGGATGCCAAAGAAGGAGGAGGACCTGCCCTGCTAGACCTTTAAATTTTGCTGTGAACCATCTGCTTTTTGCTGGTTGAGAGAATGGTTGCTTTTTGAAAACATTGAAGCGTTGGACAATGGCAGATGAAATTGATGGACTATATGGAATTGGCGGAAATGACTGGCAAGATCCGAGACCAGGGTGAAGAGTCGGTGGAAGAAGATTGGAAAAAGTTTAAAGACCATTTATAGAGATATTGTAAAATTAAGGAATGTTAGAAAAATGTTGGAATGAAATTATATGGCTTTAGCAGAAATGTCATAAGGAATCAGGTATAAATAGATTAATAGAAAATTAAAGGGAAAGTATGGCAAGAATGTGTTAAGATAATTATAGAACAGAAAACAGAGTAAGATGGAAAGGAATTGCTGAAACAAATAATAGAAGTGGAATACAAAAAGGGAGGTGGGATGAGGTCGCTGGAAATAAGTGAATGAAATATAAGATATTGAAAATGTTTGAGGTGATTTTAAACTGTTTTTGCTTGTTTTTATTTGTTTGTTTTTTAGTTCATGTAGCGTTTTTGTATTGTATTTGCATTGTTTTTTCTTTTTTTTCTTTTTCCTTTTTTTGTTTGTGCTGGAAATGTTAAAAAAGTAATAAATATCATTTTTTAAAAAAAGAACTCTGGGATCGAAGTTGATAGTTAAAACAATATTTTGATGGAAAACTTAGATGAGTGTCTGGACTACAGGGCATCATTCTGTCTCCCCACCCACCCTCTTGCTTGCTCGCTAAATAAGGTAATTCAAACATCTCAAAGGAGTTTTAATGCGTGCAGAATGGGCAACAAGGAAGAAACCTTACAGACCAAGAGAATGAACAGCCTAGCAACAGAAGATGGCTTGGCCATGTCCACAACACTGGAGGAGGTAGCAGCCAAATGTGGAATTAGTCCCATCTGTTTGATGGCAGCCTTAAATATCAGCAGAGCTTTTGGGCAGGTGGGATGTGGGAAAGTCAGTACATGATGGTTCTGTGAGGCAAATAAATGCCGGTCCCACTATTAGCTGTTGGTGTTCTGTGCACTGGGATCCACAGAAATAATAGGCTTCAAATTTTGAACAGAATCCCCAGTTAAGGAGAAAAACTCCTCTTCCACACAGTTCAAAGTTGATTGTCTCCAGAAACAAGACAAAGCTAAATACTATATACAGTTCTTCCTGTCTCTGAAGTAAAGATACGTAGGTACAGATCTGGTAACAGAATCACCATGCTAGCTAACACTGCTGTGTAAAACCCACAGCCTCTTCCTCTTACTCTCACAGATTTATTTAGACCTTGACAGCAAACAGGACAGCGTACAGAGATAACAGACATACTGAAAGCAATGCCCTAGAGGCTATTAGACCCATCTCTACACCTAGGCATATTTTCTGAACCAAAGAAAATATGACTTGGCAAGTCATATACTCAACCTGGCTGGTGTTGCTATGGTAACCCAGTGCACCTGGTACCCTTATTGTCAGAGCATCCCAATGTGGGGGATGTGCACCTCAAGACATGGGCCCAAGCACTGTGCAATTTAACCCATTGCTCACATTACCCCAACATGGTGGGCCACACTTGGCCTCCTGGACACAAGGTTCCCTACCCCACCTGTATGATGACATGCTTCCTAGGGACAGGTGAAATCTGGACTTTTCTTAGTTTCTAATTTTACCAGACCTATGTTCAGTTTTCCACATTTCCAACTCAGTTTTGCCATATTTGTTTGTTAGTTTTTAAACCTGTCCTCATGAAAAATCATCACCATTTGAGTGCAAAACCCTTCCACGTTGCATATTATTCTATATAGTGGTACCTTGGGTTAAGAACTTAATTCGTTCTGGAGGGCTGTTCTTAATCTGAAACTGTTCTTAATCTGAAGCACCACTTTACCTAATGGGGCCTCCTGCTGCCGCTGCGCTGCCGCTGCACGATTTCTGTTCTCATCCTGAAGCAAAGTTCTTAACCCGAGGTAATACTTCTGGGTTAGAGGAGTCTGCAACCTGAAGCGTATGTAACCTGAAGCGTATATAACCGGAGGTACCACTGTATTATGTATTTCCACACATATATGAATTTCTATACCCACACCTTACCTTGGTATATGCATTTCTGTACAGATTACTTCAAAAGCAAAAGCTTTTAATTTCAAAATGATTTTGAATTATGGTGCTGGAGGAGACTCTTGAGAGTCCCATGGACTGCAAGAAGATCAGACCTATCCATTCTTAAGGAAATCAGCCCTGAATGCTCACTGGAAGGACAGATCGTGAAGCTGAGGCTCCAATACTTTGGCCACCTCACGAGAAGAGAAGACTCCCTGGAAAAGATTGTCGGGAAAGATTGAGGGCACAAGGAGAAGGGGACGACAGAGGACGAGATGGCTGGACAGTGTTCTCGAAGCTACCAGCATGAGTTTGACCAAACTGCGGGAGGCAGTAGAAGACCTGGAGTGCCTGGCGTGCTCTGGTCCATGGGGTCACGAAGAGTCGGACACGACTAAACGACTAAACAACAACAACAGATTACTTGGCTGAGAATTGTATTGGAAAATTGTATTGTATTGTATTGAAGGGCGGCTGAGTTTCAGTACATATATTGTGTCAGAAAGTGAGAATTAGCTAGGTTCCGCTTTAAATGTGAAGTGAATTCCCCGGATCCCTGCCACCTTACCCCCACCCCAGTCCGGAACAAGCATCCTAAGTGAATCAGTGTTCCACCTGCCTGGAAGATACGACACTATTTCTTCACAGTCTTGCACATTTTCAATGTTATCTGCCCTAAAAGGCTGGTCGATTTAAAGCAAGCTACACTACCCCCCAAAAAACCCACCCCCAACAAACATACAAAAACAAAATCCAGAGAGATTTCAGAAATAACTGCTGATCACAACAAGATATATGCCCAAGAATTGCGGGCTAAGTATGTATTATAAGCTTCTGTTTGCTTCTTTGGAACTGTTTTGTGAAATGGAACAATCAGTTCATTTCAGGTGAGGTAAAATTCCATGTTGGTTTAATAATAATAAAAAAGCTGTTGAGCAGACCTCTCCAGAGGGCTGTGGAAGTACTAGACTATTTACAGAAATGAACTGTGGGAGCAAAAGAAATTACCCTTTCCTTAGCTGATATTTGCTCTGTATCTGCAATTTAGTTATAGCAGGCATGGCTGTCTGTTTGCATTAACAGCAGTAGCTGCTTATGCCTGTGGTGAGGGGCTGACAGGATTTAGGCCTGATCCGTAGAGGGAACCAGGCCAATATGGCTTTTGGGATGTCAGTTCCCTATCCTCCTTGGCTTATGCAAATAACTAACAAGATCAAACAAATTGGCCTAAACCCTGAAAATATTTTTATTGGAACTCTGAACAAGGCAAAAGCTACTATTACTCGGAGACTTTATGATATCGAATTACAACAAGAAGGCGCCCTACTCCCAGAGACGTATAGATGTTTAAAAGCTTGGCCTAATTTTACAGCTGCCCCTTACTTAACCAACATCACTAGCGAAGCCTATAGATGGGCTTTCTCTAGAGCCCGCTTTGAGACAATGCCCTCAGCAGTGCTGTACGGCAAATTCACGCGGGTTCCAATGCATGCGCGTCTCTGCCCTTGTATGTCTAATAAGGTAGAATCTGTCACACACATTCTTCTATCTTACGAATTCTATAGTGAAGAACGAGCTCAACTTATTTTACCGCTTTTATAAAAATTTATACCCCTTCAATATTATTTGGAATCCTCTCCTTAATTCTTCGAAAATACCTCCTTGAAGATTCCTCAAGCTCAGTATCATATGAGGTGGCTAAATTTTGCACTTTAGTAATTAAGAAACGTAAATCTCTTCTGTCGAATGGCACACTGCGAAGTTCCCTTGTGTAACCTTTTTTCTTTTCTGAAGTTGTTGCTGATTTCTTGTTGTCTGATCTTGGGATGTTTAGTGTCACTGGCTTTGGCCGCAATAAACTTGAACTTGACTTTTGGGATGTTGTGGAAAAAAGACTTAAGGCATTAGAAATATTCATGTGAAATTTGTATCTCTCCAGTGACAGTGACTGGAGCCCTGTCTATTGACCTTGGATTGCTGTGGCATTTAAGCACCTTCCATTTTAGCTCCTGAACTGCACTGATTAACTAAAGGCGATATAACCATGTCATACAGAAACAGTCACTGAGGCATCTAAGCCATAAATGGGACTGGAAAAGAACATGAACCGGTGTGTCACATTTTTAGCTGGGCGTAGTAGTTATTTGTGGGTGATATCTGGTGGCCGTTGAAAGTTAAATCGAAGGGTTTATGGCATTCTGAATTCCCTGCGTCTTATTTTGTTAATCCTGTTAAAATGTGACATGCTAGTTTATTTAAACAGCACCGGTTAGAGCAGTCCCCATCCTGAGTTAGAGGTATAATAAGCCCTGCAATTTGCTTCAGGGCAATGACATTATCAATGTTTACTGCAGTATCATACCCTCCAACCTTTCTCCGATAAAAATAGGCTCGTCCTATTCCATCCTAATAAGTAATAATAATAATTTTATTATTTATACTTTGCCCATCTGACTGGGTTGCCCCAGCCACTCTAGGCAGTTTACCACAAATATAAAAACATAATAAACATTAAATGAAAATCCCTATACAGTCGTACCTTGGTTCTCGAACGTAATCCAGTCTGGAAGTCCGTTTGACTCCCAAAATTGTTTGAAAACCAAGGCATGGCTTCTGATTGGCTGCAGGAACTTCCAGCCCTCAAGCAGAAGCCGCATCAGACTATTGGCTTCCGAAAAAACGTTCGAAAACCAGAACACTTACTTCCGGGTTTTCAGCATTTGGGAGCAAAACTGTACGAGCACCAAGGCGTTGAAGAACCAAGGTATGACTGTACAGGGATGCCTTCAGATGTCTTGGTTCAGGGGGTCAAATAACTCCATACCCTCCAACATTTATCCAAAGGAAAAGAAGACATTCTGGAATCAAATCAGAAATGAGGATGACTTCTGTAAATCCAGGACTGTCTCTGGAAAATAGAGACACTTGGAGGGTCTGCAGTATACCCAGTGCATTTGCAGTACGCCAGGCACTGTGATCATCAGTAGTCCAGTAGACCGTAGTACCTGATTTGTGGGTTCCTATTGAAGAAGAAAATGGCTGTATTATTATTTTTGCAGTGCCATCAGCATGTGTAGCACTTTATAAAGCACCAAAGGACGGGCTTCTGAACCAGATGTCTTCCAATTATACTCATGAAGTTGTGTCAGGGAATGAGGCTTGAAGATCCCCACCCCAACAAGCATAATTTTACTTCTTGTGGCTCACCTTCCCCCAACTTGACCAGTTTTCCACTTAAGGCCATATCTCCTCTCCCATATAGTCTAATCACAGGCATGTCCAAAGTCCGCTTCGGGGGCGGGCCTAATTCAGCCCGCTGGTTGGTCCCAATCCGGCCCCTCAACTCAACAACTTTGGGGTAAAATCATTAAAAAAGGTCAATCCTTAAAAAAGGTCAATAATTCTGGTTGGCCCCCTGGTTGGCCCTTCACTTCATCAAATCTGGCCCTCTTTTTAAAAAGTTTGGACACCACTGGATGGTTGCCCCTGTTCTGTAGAATTTCAGTTCTTTCAATTTCTAATTTTTCCCAATCTTATATTGTGTTCTCCATGTTTCTTCATCAATCTCCGTTTTTTTAAGAAATACCCTCATGAAAACTCAGCAGCATTTTAGCGCAAATTTATCCTAATATACAAACTTCCTGTCCAGTTTTGACCAATGTACACGTTTTTGCTAGCAATTTCCCCTAATAGAATGCATTTTTGTATGTTATTTTTGTAAATATATGTATTTCATGCACACTTTCTCCCAATGTATGCATTTTGGTACCCATTCTTTGGTGGGGGAACTGCATCACATAATTTGGAAAAGTGTGAGTTTCAAAAGGTGTCTGTGTTTCGATCCTCATATTGTTTCAGAAACTGCAAATTTGATGGATTCATCTTCAAATGCAAACCGAATTGCATTTGTCCTCCATCCCTAACTAAAACTAATTTCTCATATCTGGGGCTTGAAGGGTCACAGAAATATTTTTCCCCCATTTTCATTACCCCAAGACTCATTCTGCAGTCATTATCCTGTAAGTCAGGCTTGTCTTTCCGAAGTCCAGAGGATTCTCACTATTAAATTATACAGTGGTACCTTGGTTCTCAAACTTAATCCGTTCTGGAAGTCTGTTCCAAAACCAAAGTGTTCCAAAACCAAGGTGCGTTTTCCCATAGAAAGTAATGCAAAATGGATTAATCCGTTCCAGACTCTTAAAAACAACCCCTAAAACAGCAATTTAACATGATTTTTACTATCTAACGAGACAACTGATCCATAAAATGAAAGCAATAAACAATGTACTGCAGTCACACAAGCAAACAATCAGTAGCTGAACTAGGTTCCACACAGTCACAAAAACAAAACAAAAAAGCCGCAAAAACAAAAACACAAAATAAATAGCAAAAACAGACAGACGTCAGTGGAACACTCAAAACGGAAGCGTGGCACTCAAAATGGAGCATGTTCGGTTTCTGAAAAAAGTTTGCAAACTGGAACACTTACCGGTACTTCTGGGTTTGCAGTGTTTGGGTTCCAAGTTGTTTGAGTACCAAGGCGTTTGAGAACCAGGGTGTCACTGTAGTAGTATCCTGACCCATTTCATTTAACATGAAAGTAGGTAAGCAGCAATGTTTGATTAGACACGCATCTATTTTGTGGCTGAGAAAGACAAAGAATGAACAAGACAGAGTAGCTAAAGTGAATGCGTTAGGTGCCTGTGAGATGTAATAAGTGGAAGGTTTCTTTATTTGTTTAATTAAATATATGACTTCAAAAAAAGGAAAGGAAAAAACCCTACCCCTAAAGTAAAACAAGGAGCCAAGTACAATTAAAGCTGTTCTGATTTAGCACCATGGCAATTTTTTTTTTAATCATTTCTACCGGGAGAGAACGGATTAATTATGTTTCATGCGCTTTGGTTTACAAGTACTTCAGTGGTTTCTGTTTGATGAAACAAATCAATGAGCATTCTGGAAACTGTGAACATCTTACAGCAGCTGAATACATTAATGCACCAGAAATGTGTGAGCGCGCACACACAAACGTACACACAGAGAGCAGAATCAGCATTGCCCTTGTGAGCAGCAGCTTAGGAGTGGAGAGGACCAAATGGATGATGTTATTGAAGTAGAGAGCAGCACAAGAGGAGCTGAGGGAGAAGTAATCTGGCATATTGCATGAGAAAATTACATTATTATCTGAAAGTAGATTGGTTTACTTGCCCTGTACTCACAAACCCCTTTCTCTTGATAATCATCTTCACACTCAACTGCACTTCATAGCTTGTTTACCATGTTGCAATGATATTTGCTCCCTAAGTTTATTTGATGTTGGCCACTTGAAAACATTATCATTTAAATTAGTTCCTGTAACTAATGAGCATATGTTTCGTAGCAAACAAGTAAAGGAATTTTTGAGGCTTTTTTTAAATCTAAAAAAAAAATTGCATTGCAAAAATGTAAACTGTATATTTTCAGATACTGCACAAAGCAGCAATCCTGAAAATATTAACGCATATGCTAAGGAAAAGGAATAATTTACGTCAGAGCTTTTTTGCCAGTGTGCCCAGGAGTGTAGCATGGCAGTGTAGTCATTTAGAAGCTCAGAAGTAAGCCCCAGTAAGTGCAATGGGGTTTATTCTCAGATAAGTGCAAACCTGAGACCCTATGAGCTCATCCACACTTCTGCTGATGCTGTGCCTAGCAGTTTCCCCCTTGTCCCGCTCTTTTTGAAGGGAAAATCCACTCTTTAGCGTTACATCAGAACAAATGGCAATTCGTGGGGAATCCCGAATTGCCATTTGTTCCAACTAAGCACTAAAGAGCGGTTTTCCTCAAGGAGGTGGGAAGCAGCAGGACAAGAAGATCTTAAAGACCTACACTGGTTCCCAGTACATTTCTGAGCACAATTCAAAGTGTTGGTGCTGACCTTGAAAGCCCTAAACAGCCTCAGCCTTTTATACCTGAAGGAGTGTCTCCACTCCCATCATTCAGCCCATCATTCACTGAGATCCAGTACCGAGGGCCTTCTGGCAGTTCCCTTGCTGTGAGAAGTGAGGTTACAGTGAAACAAGCAGAGGGCCTTTTCGGTAGTGGCGCCCGCCCTGTGGAACGCCCTTCCACCATATGTCAAGGAGATAAGTAACTATACAACCTTCAGAAGACAGCTGAAGGCAGCCCTGTATAGGGAATTTTTCAATGTTAAATGTTTTATTATGTTTTTGAATATGCTGGAAGCTGCCCAGACTGGCTAGGGCAACCTAGTCAGATAGGCAAGGTACAAATAAAACAACAACAACAGAAATAAGAAGATAAGCCCAGTGTAGACTGGAATTTTTATCTCCCAGTAGATAGTCAGGCTTTGTTTCCAAGGTGGATGGAGATAGGAAGATAAAGGAAGGAATTCAAAGTCACACTATGGCGGCCATTTCGTCAGGTCAAGCATCTCAGATTACCAGACAGAACAATCTTCCCTCCCACCTGTGCTGCTCTGGGGATTCTCACATCCCTCAATAAATAAAATAAAATAAAAGTAAAGAAAGGTAGTCAGAAGACTGACAGCTCCGTCTGCTTAAAATCTTGAGCTCAGTCCATCCAAAATAATGGAATTGGTTCATAAAATATAATGTAAGGACCACAGCTCAGTGCCTTGCAAGAAGGTCCCAGGTCCAATCCCTGGTGGCATCTACAGGTAGAATTAAGCTACTCCTGCCTGAGACCATGGACAGCCACAGCTGCCAGTCAGTGTAGACAACACTAAGGTGGTCCAATGGTTGGTATATGTTCTTAACATCATTAAGTGTCATAAATTTGGATTTGGCTTGAGAACAGCAGCTTCACCTAGTCTCTGGTGGTAATGACCTATCATTTCCACCAAAGCTGATATCATCAGAGTTTGAGTATTGTGCCAACCCTTCAGAACCTTTTTCATTGCAATAATGGCCTTTTCACAGTTTTTTGGTGACCTTTGGGCTTTACTGAGCTCTCCTCCTCCTGCTGAAATCTAGAGTGGCTGGGAAAACCCAGCCAGATGGGCAGGGTATAAATAAACAAAAAAGAGTGCACCTCCAATATTGCCAGGTGTATTTAGGGTGCAGCACATACTGAGCTGTGCAGGTAAGCTACACAGGTAAGATCCAAAGGTTGCCATATATCCCCTTTTTCCAGGACATGTCCTCTTTTTCATGGGTAGAGTCGTCACAGGGATCCATAGTTAAAAGTTGCTCTTCAAAATATGGCAACCCTACGAAACTATATGGTGAAATTGTATAGTTTTGCAGCTTCTACATCCTCATACAATTCTGTAGCACATGTGGATGATAGCCAGAATTTAAAAACACTGATCTATTCTCTGTGTCAAGACACATTGCTTAAACTTTAATGTTCTAGCCTAGTCCTTTGACTGTGTCGATCACAGCAAACTATGGCAAGTTCTTAAAGAAATGGGAGTGCCTGATCACCTCATCTGTCTCCTGAGAAATCTCTATGTGGGACAAGAAGCTACAGTTAGAACTGGATATGGAACAACTGATTGGTTCAAAATTGGGAAAGGAGTACGGCAAGGCTGTATATTGTCTCCCTGCTTATTTAACTTACATGCAGAATTCATCATGCGAAAGGCTGGGCTGGATGAATCCCAGATGACACAACCTTGATGGCAGAAAGTGAAGAGGAATTAAAGAACCTTTTAATGAGGGTGAAAGAGGAGAGTGCAAAATATGGTCTGAAGCTCAACATCAAAAAAACGAAGATCATGGCCACTGGGCCCATCACCTCCTGGCAAACAGAAGGGGAAGAAATGGAGGCAGTGAGAGATTTTACTTTCTTGGGCTCCATGATCACTGTAGATGGTGACAGCAGTCACGAAATTAAAAGACGCCTGCTCCTTGGGAGGAAGGCGATGGCAAACCTAGACAGTATCTTAAAAAGCAGAGACATCACCTTGCCAACAAAGGTTCGTAAAGTTAAAGCCATGGTTTTCCCAGTAGTGATGTATGGAAGTGAGAGCTGGACCATAAAGAAGGCTGATCGCCGAAGAATTGATGCTTTTGAGTTATGGTGCTGGAGGAGACTCTTGAGAGTCCCATGGACTGCAAGAAGATCAAATGCATCCATTCTTAAGGAAATCAGCTCACTGGAAGGACAGATCCTGAAGCTGAGGCTCCAATACTTTGGCCACCTCATGAGAAGAGAAGACTCCCTGGAAAAGACCCTGATGTTGGGAAAGATGGAGGGCACAAGGAGAAGGGGACGACAGAGGACAAGATGGTTGGACAGTGTTCTCGAAGCTACAAACATGAGTCTGACCAAACTGCGGGAGGCATTGGAAGACAGGAGTGCCTGGCGTGCTCTGGTCCATGGGGTCACGGAGAGTCGGACACGACTAAATGACTAAACAGCAACAGCAAGTCTATTTGAGATGAGATAATCACATGGCAGTTCACAGCAAACATTTCAGTGATTATTATCGTAAATCTTGAGCAAATACAGAGTTTTGGGCAACTGTGTTCAGTCTTGATCAGTGTTCTTTTCCTTAAAAATGTTTAGAGGTACTCTCATTTTGACTCAAGAAAATCACCATTTTATAGTTCAAATTGGGGGGGAAAAATACAGCAAATGGACAGAAGTACAAGATTCACAAAATGTTTAGGGGTATGCGTACCCCTGTGTACCCCCAGAAAAAAGCACTGGTCTTGATTATATATTATATGTATACAGTATTTTTATATATGAAAACTCAGTTTCTTCCACAGTGTTCAGTCCCATATGCAGTTTTAAAAAGCAGGACAGGCCTGTAGCCTTAAAAAAATTAAGTGCTAACCTTCTTGGGCACTTGAGTTCATTATATTGTTTCCAATTAAATGCATCAAGACTGCATAAAGAGTTTATTATTTGTCAAGCTTAGTAAGATTTTACAAAGACATTTGCATTGATTTGTAGTGAAAGGGCAAATTCCAGCACTTATGAGTAATTAAAGGCAATAGAGCATGACAAGATCAGGATGTTTCTTGGCTGTAAGTTGACAGATTTTTTTGGAACTTTTTTTTAGTTCCATTGTCCAGTGGCTAGCGAGTGCTTATTTCACCTTAATCTTTTAAAACCCAATGACCATTTTTACTGGCCATTTAACAAGCCTTTAAAACTTGCTGCACTATTTAATCAAGCATGTATTCAAAAAGCATAACACTATTTTTGAAAAAAGCATAACACTATGTTGAAAAAAATCTCACTTTTAATACACAATTCTGCACCGAACACAATCTCATTTTGCATTTGGCTATATATGGTTATATGTTAGTAGGTTTGTTAGACCCTGTTTGTATTTTCCTTGTTTACTGCTTCATATTATTTTAGACTGCAATCCTATAGACACTTGGGAGTATGTCCAGTTGACCTGAATAGGGTTTACTTCTGAGAAGTCATGCACAGAATTGCATAGTCAATGTGGTTAAATATGTAGAATGTTTATTCAAGAGTAAAATCCCAGTTTAGCTAAGATGATTCACACATGGAAGCATAGTTGCTGGATGTCAGGCTTCGGGGAACCAGTTCCTCCCCCCGTGGCAGTAGATCAAATGAAAGGAACGCTTTACCAGTTAGAATCTTTAATAATCACAGTGAGAAAACAAAAAACACGTCTCCAAGAAATGGCGGTGCTCCCAATTAAGGGACACTCCTTCCTCCGTCCATATTAATCTACATCACTCCTATGTCTTAATAGCCTAAGTTTGTACCCTCTGTGCTTTCTGTTCCAACACTTTCTGAGCTCTCTGTGACTTTGGGGAAGGGTGTGTGTGGATACTATCCAGAGACTGTGAATCTGTTAACACTCTCTTTCAGTGTTCCTTCTCCTAGCTATTCCCCATCCAGAATTTCCCAGCTTCTGCCTTCTGAACTATGCCCCTCTGCAAACCACTGTTCAAAATCTATGCTGTCCTCCTGCTCCTGGGAAGATTCAGGATCAGGATCAAGCGGAGGGGGTGGCTCCCACCATTCCGCCTCAGTGCAGCCCTCCTCAGCACGGTCCCTGACACCGGACCACAAAACACGGACAATTCAGGTGTACATTCAGAAACAAATTGGAATCCAAGGACGGGAGCCATCTTTCCATCATGAACTAAAAGGTAAAGGGACCCCTGACCATTAGGTCCAGTCATGACCGACTCTGGGGTTGCGGCACTTATCTCACTTTATTGGCTGAGGGAGCCGGCGTACAGCTTCCGGGTCATGTAGCCAGCAGGACTAAGCCGCTTCTGGCGAACCAGAGCAGCGCATGGAAATGCTGTTTACCTTCCCGCACTTTGAAATGCTTTTGAACTGCTAGGTTGGCAGGAGCGGGGACCGCGCAACGGGAGCTCACCCCGTCGCGGGGATTCAAACCGCCGACCTTCTGATCGGCAAGTCCTAGGCTCTGTGGTTTAACCCACAGCGCCACCCGCGTCCCCCTCAGCCCCAACCCCACCCCCATTAATTTCCATCATGAACTACCAGGAAATTAATGGGGGGGGGTTAGGGCTGAGATCAAAGAGCACATGGCTGTTGCGTGATTCCAAACTAGATAAAACAAGTAAGTACCTTCTGGCTGATCTACTGAAAAATCCTCAGTTTCATCTAGGTAGCCTTCTTTCTGGGCATAATAATCTGAAATGTTTTGAAATGTAAAGAATGTACAACTAAATATTCCGGCACCTAGAAATGGGTTTTGAGATTGGAACATAGCTGTCAACCATCCCTTATTTGGCTGGAAAGTCCCTTATCCCAGCGCTGTGTCCCACTGCTGTCCCTTATTGATGATGTCCCTTAAATTTCCTGGGTTTCAAAGGAAGCAGCTCCTCTCCCTCCCTCCCTGCTGGCCAGGGAGGAGGGAGGCTCCAACTGTGTTGCTTGGCTGCGTTGCTCACCCAATAAGGAGTCTAAGAACAACTGGGGGGTGGAGCTTGCATGCCTTGTGCCGATCAAATCGGCCACATTGCCTGGGGACTCGCCTTTGCTCAGCGCTTCCCAGCAGAGAGGTGACGGTGGTTTTCCTTGCTGCATCCCCTTTGCTGGGTTGCTGCGCTGTGGGAACCACTGCTTGAGGCTTCGTTCGGCTGCTGGCTGGGTTTTCTGCATTCGGCTCGGAGGGGCTCAGAAGTTGAACATACCTGTGTTCGGAAAATCCCTTATTTTGGCTGCTGATCCCTTATTTTCGAGGCTGCTGGTCCCTTATTTTCAAATCTTTAAGTTGACAGCTATGGATTGGAAAGTGATTGGCTAGCATGAACACAAACAATGCCCCGACTGCAGATCTTGCTCCTTGGTGTTTTCATAAACAGAGGCAGCCATCCTAACAGATTCTTCTGTTCTTAATCACCATCTCCATGATGTGCTCATTTACCCTCCAGTTTGTGGAGGACTGGAGCCAGGTTGCTTTGATACAATTCTGGCTGTTGGCAGAACATCCTATTGCCACGGCAGCAGAGCCCAAATGCTTGGCAGGCGGAGGTTTCAAGCGTGACAATGACATTGTATTCCTTTTAGCAAACGGGAGCCAGTGTGCGCTGCTCTAGAGTGCAAAGCAGAGTGAGTGACAAAAACCAAACCAAGCCTCCGAACCCCACAAAAGCACAGTTGCCACCATTCACTCTCGGATCACAACTTGTTATACAAAACATCCAATTTGGCTGAGTGTATGTTAATCCATTTCTAATTGTGCAAACAACACTCTCCCGTTTGGTTATCAAGTCAAACAGTTCTTTAATCAATTTAATAAACATAATCTTATTAAACCAATGGCAGTTCCCTGTCCCCAATTAACCCGAGAGATGATACAGAACGGCCATTTCCCCCCTTTAAAATGCATCTGTTATGCTAAAAACTTTTTAAAAAGAAAGAAATAGATTTGAAATTTGTTTTTAAGTTATTAGTTTTGTCTTGGAACATAAAGAGGAGGCAGAATTTTATATGTTTACATTTGTGAATTTTCAAATAGAATGAAGAATGGCCATTGCTTGGGTTTTGTATGGATGAGCGTATTTGCGGCTTCAAAACAATGAGGATGTGAGACCAGATCCAGACTCAGGAATTCAGAGCCAGCAATGAAGAATGCTGTTTACTTGGCCCACAGCACTCTATATTTCCTGGGTTAAGGATAGTTCACAACCTCCTCCTCTGCGGTCAGTGAAGAACTCCAGGAAAAAAATTTGGGGGTGGGGGGGAAAGGAAAGGCTTTAAATCTTGCTATATAAGACCTTAATATACAGCAACTGAAAGCTGGGGGATTGAATACTGTACAGGAAAATATTATGGGACAGTATGCGCTCCCCATGGGGTTCTCCCGGAACTAACCCAATGTCAGGGTTGAAGCTGTGACTGGTAAGTGAGTTATTTGGACTACAGCAGGGGTAGTCAACCTTTTTAGACCTACCGCCCACTAATGCATCTTTCTTGTTGGTAAAATTTCCTTACCGGCCACCAGTGCTCGATGGAAGGAGGATTTACCTTCTGCAGTAGAACCCCCTACCGCCCACCTAGAATCCTGAAACGCCCACCAGTGGGCAGTAGGGACCAGGTGGACAACCCCTGGACTACAGGAATCCCTGGGATCCCAAAGTGTTGCTGTTTTCCAATAATAATAATTTATTACTAATGACCCGCCCATCTTGCTGGGCCTCCCCAGTCACTCTGGGCAGCTTTCAACAGAACATTAAAAACACGATAAAACATCAAACATGAAAAACTTCCTGATACAGGGCAGCCTTCAGATGTCTTCTAAAAGTCAGATAGTTGTTTATTTCCTTGACACCTGATGGGAGGGCGTTCCACAGGGCGGGCGCCACTACCGAGAAGGCCCTCTGCCTGGTTCCCTGTAACCTCACTTATTGTAGTGAGGGAACCGCCAGAAGGTCCTCAGCGCTGGACCTCAGTGTCCGGGCTGAACGATGGGGGTGGAGACACTCCTTCAGGTCCACTGGGCCGAGAAGTCCATTAGTGTACTTTTCTTGCTTCCATCTCATTTCCTAGTCCTTGGAAACTCCATAACTTGCCTTTCCTTTCTGCGAAATGGAAAAATTCCTACCCAGCCCCTGTTCTAAAATAATAATAATAATAATAATAATAATAATAATAATAATAATATTTTATTTATACCCTGCCCTCCCCAGCCAAGGCCGGGCTCAGAGCGGCTTACAAGCAATAATAAAAACAAGATGAATGATTACAACTTAAAAACAAAAATAAAATACAACATTAAAATAATGGAACATTAAAATATTAAAATGTAGCCTCATCGCAGGAGGAGAAGGAAAAGAAAAAAGAAAGAGAGGGAGGGAGGGAATCAAATTGGCTCCGAGCCAAAGGCCAGGTGGAACAACTCTGTCTTACAGGCCCTGCGGAAAGAAATGCAGGGCCCTGGTCTCATGAGGCAGAGCGTTCCACCAGGCCGGAGCCAGAGTTGAAAAGGCCCTGGCTCTGGTTGAAGCCAATCTAACTTCCTTAGGGCCTGGGACCACTAGGGTGTTGTTATTTATGGACCTTGAGGCTCTCCGTGGGGCATACCAGGAGAGGCAGTCCCGTAGGTACGAGGGTCCTAGGCTGTGAAGGGCTTTAAAGGTCAAAAGCAGCACCTTAAATCTGACCCTGTACTCCACCAGGAGCCAGTGTAGCTTGAAAAGCACTGGGTGAATATGCTCCCATGGCAGAGACCCCGTGAGGAGCCTCGCTGCGGCATTCTGTACCCGCTGGAGTTTCTGGGACAGCTTCAAGGGCAGCCCCACGTAGAGTGAATTACAGTAGTCAGCATATTGGTGACAGCCCAGCCCAAAGCTCCGGATAATCTGGGCAAGGGGGCGCATAAAGATGTTAAAAAGCATCGGGGAGAGAATTGCGCCCTGCGGCACTCCACACACCAAGGAGTGGCGCGACGACATTTCCTCCCTAGTGCCACCCTCTGTCCCCGACCAGAGATAAAAGAGCACAACCAGTTACGGGCTATGCCCTGTATCCCCACGTCTGCGAGGCGGTGGTCCAGAAGATCATGATCGACCATGTCAAAGGCTGCTGACAAATCTAAAAGGATCAGCAGTCCTGACCCGCCTCGATCCAGTTGTCTACGGAGATCATCTGTTAGGGCAACCAGAGCCGTCTCCGTCCCAAAACCAGGACGGAAACCGGACTGAAATGGATCGATGCCGATGTTTCCTCCAGAAATGCCGATGTTTCCTCCAGAAACCTACCAAGCTGTTCAGCAACCGCTCTCTCAATTACCTTACCCAGGTATGGAAGATTTGAAACTGGGTGGTAATTGGATAGGTCTAAGGGATCTGATGAAGTTTTCTTTAAGAGTGGACACACCACTGCTTCCTTCAGTTCCCCTGGGAATGTCCCCGTGTCAAGGGACAAATTGATAATTTCAACCAGGGGGGTCCGCGCAACATCTGGACACTCCCTAATCAGCCAAGACTAGCACGGATCAAGGAGGCAGGTGGTGGGCCTACCAACTTGGAGGAATCTATCCACATCAGTAGGGAGTATCCGATCGAAATGGTCCAACACTGGACCTGAAGTCAGTCGAGGGGCCTCCAGTTCAGTCACTGTATCTAAATTGGCAGGGAGGTCACGGCGGAGCAACAGGACTTTCTCCGCAAAAAGCTCGCGAATGCCTCACAGCTGTGGGTCGAATTTGTGCTTAAATTTGGTTGTCCTCCTAAGGACGTTATTGACCTAATTATTCTAAAAAGTTGTGCCGGGCGAGAGCTAGCGGATGCAATGGAAGCTGCAAAGTAAGATTTCTTAGCAGCTTTCATAGCCATCTCATAGGCTTTCAGAAGCGTCCTATAAGATGTTCTTGAGGCTCCATCATGAGTCCGTCACCATACTCGCTCTAGCCATCTGAGATCCCACTTCATTTTCCGGAGCTCCTCAGTAAACCAAGGGGCCCGGTTTCGACGGGGTCGCAGAAGGCGCTTAGGCGCGATCTCAACAATGGCTGCCAAGAGCCGGTTATTCCAGTCCTCAACAAGGTCATCTAATGAGTCGCCAGGAGGAGCAGGGTTCTACAAGGCTTGTCGGAATCTATCAGGATCCATCAGTTTTCGCGGACGAGCCCAAATAGGTTCGCCACCCGAGCCGGGGAGGAGCGGGAAGTCAATCTTGGCTTTCAGAGCATAGTGATCAGACAACAGGCAACCCAAACCAAAGCAAGGCCAAGCGACTCTACCTAAACTAGGGAGGGTGGGCGGGTGTTCAGCAGTGCGAAGCAAGTGCCCCTGCTTGCGTCACGCTGCCATTTTTAAAGCCCCTGGGATCACGCCACCTACTGGCTATTGACTAAAACCGCCTGGTATGATCCCAGGGGGATGGCTAGGACTTCCTGCTCCCCCCCCATTTTAACCCTGTCAGGTGAGCTCTTGGGTCCTGCACGCAACCAGAACCTTCTGTTATGAGGATCCCATTTACAGAACCAAATAGGTGTCTGCAGAATGTAGGAGTTTATGATGTAGGAGTTTGGCCCACGTTGACCCAACCATTATGTGACTGGCTCGCAGCTCAGCCTCTCTTTATCATGTATTTGCTGAAGTCCTCCTTTGACAGATTTGGAGGCAAAGCTTCCTGACGGGCTCACTGCCCTCCTACAGCACTTGCTCAACATGAGAAATAATTTTAAAAATCACAATGCAATTTTAGTTCTTCTGAGATCTAAGAGCTGCCTTGAAAGAAGGAGCCCTCAGAAAGGTAGTTAACATGAAGAGCGGCTTGTGGCATGCCAGAGAGAAGCCGATCTTATTCCCCTTTATCAGGGCTCAAGGCAATCTAGCTTGGATAATGAAGCTGGTTACGTTATCCTTTTACCCTTCCAGGGTGAACAACCAGCAAGAGTCTTGATATTTAAATTGATGTTTTACACCCTAATAATTCTTCACTTTTTAATTCAATCGTGGTCCGTTAGATGCCCAGTAATAAGAGGGAAAATATAAGATAAACTGCTCTAATTACAGTGTCATGAAGGGAAACAATAAACATATTAAACTATGAAGGGATAATCGTTATCATGGCTTAAAGAGAAGATCAGGGTCTAAGGCAGACATTTCTAACAAGGTTCATTAACTGTCCTTACAGCTCTTGGAATATTTTAACGGCGGCAATTAACATAAAAATAGATTTAGCGACACCAGCTTCTCATTACTGTCAGCTTGTATTTGGGCTCATAAAATATAATTATAAATAAAATACACTTTTCCTTCCTAATGCTTATTAAAAGGGGATATTATACAGTTTTGCAGAGCTACTAATGATCAGCACTTTAATTCAATATTGTAAATTGCGGCGTTCATGTGCACAAATATACACACACTAATTGCAAGTACATCTCATCATAGGATCGCTCTCTGTCACTCCACTCTCAATTTACAGATTTCACTTGGCTGTTTTCTCCTTCCCTTCAGTCGCTCTTTAAATTTAAATGCTTATGCATGCTATATATATCTTTTCCTCTATAACGTGATCCACTGTGCAATTGAGCAATTTCAGTCTTTTTTTATTCCAAATAGTGCCAGTTTAATGTTTCAATCTTCACCCTGCATAGTCGGTGGCTAGAGTAGACCCAGTTAGTTCAATTACACTAATCTAGAGGAAGCAATTTGAGGATTCTACCTTTCAAATGCTTGGGCCCTCTGAAGCTATTTACCCTGCAAGCACATTTTCTGCAGTGTACCTGATCTGTAAATAGATGAACTCTGTATTCTGAATTGCAGAAGTATTCCTCTCCAGCTTATAAATGGGTTGTGTGGTTTGGCATAGAAGCTTCACATGCCTAATTTGAGAGGGCTAGCTTTTAGGATGCCAATCATGACATCAGGCTGTTTTTCCTCCAGTTCTCCCTTTCCAGCTCCACACAAAGGAATTCCCCCTTCGGTTTCTCTTCTTTCCATTTCCTCTCCCTCTGATTCTTTCCATCGTTCTTCAGCCTCCGCCCACTCCTCCCATCTGATCTTTGATTTATTTATTTTTATTAAAAAATGGGTGCTCCATTTCAGGGGTTTAATTTCTCCCATATTACCTGTTTCCAATAAGTCATCCCTTTCAGGCATGTTCACTTAAAATAATCCCACAAGTACAATCCTGTCCAGGTCTGAGCACTGGCAATCATTTCATGTGCTGGAATACCTTTGATGTGAATGCAGTCTATGGCTCTGATAGCATTCTAGGAATGTTATGTTGACCTAGTTGTAAATATCTAGCTCTATGGCTATGCCTGGGATTAGACCTTATCCCTCAGGTTCAGTGGGACAAGATAAGCATTGTGACGCACGTTCATTTCAGTTTCATGGGCTGGCGGTTTTTTAAAACAACAACAACATCACAACTTGCAATATATGTATATTTTCAAATGTATTAATAGTATATTATTAAAATATGTAGCCAAAACAACTTGCGATATCTAACATTTCAAAATTGAAAATGACATCACAGTTCTATGAATGTTTGCCCAGTGAGAATTACTTGTCTCACTGAGAAATGGAGCCTGATAAAACATGTATCTTCATCCTGCTGTGAAGGGAGAGTTATGAGCACTTAGGACATATTATATAAATACTGTTTACTTGACCCTGTTTCTGAAGTGCCTCTAGTCTGGATGAAGCCATTTACTATTACTGTTTGTTTAAAAGCAAGCCTGTTATTCAAGAAGAGGAGGTATATCTATGCCAGTAACCCTAAACGATTCTTGCAATGCAAATAGTGAACAATGCTAAGAGAAGCCATTTTTTAAAAAAACAAAATAGCATTGATGCTGCCTTTTGAGGCACAGCTAAAACAACATACAACATCATAAAGACACAGTGATCACAACTATCTGGAATAATTGAGACTGATAAAGGCAACAGGGAGGGTTGGCTGACATCTTCATTATACATATTTAGGCACCAGGCAAAAACATTCCTCTTCAACCAGGCCTTTGGCTGATTGACATCTGACACCCTTTTCAATGTGTTGTGGGAAGTGGTGGGCTTATTGGTTTGTTCTTGTTTTTATTACGTATTTTGTGCTTTTCGTATCGTATTTTTATGTTGCAAACTGCCCTGACAGCTGCGGATGAGGGGGCGGTATACAGATTTAATAAACACCATCAACAACATGAACGGTGATTAAAAGGTCAGTTAAAACAGTTAATAAAAATTCAAGCATTCTGTTTATTGAGCACTCATCATGATCTGTTTGTGCAAACATTATGCAACATATCTCCGACATCACCGCTTATAGACATCACCTGTTCGAGTTATTTGCATGGAGAACGGATGCCCTGGGATGTTTGGCCGCTGTAGGCAAAATGCGCCCCCTCCTGACTACACTGCCAAAACCACTCCCGCCCCCCCAGGCCCAGGCCCCCTCCCTGTCCCTGCCTTTGTGCCCACACTGTCACCAGCCCTGCCACCACAACCACAAGGGTGCTGTGGGGGAAGTGGGGACAGCATGGGTGAAGCTGTGGCAGGGCTGGCAGTGGTACAGCAGTAGAGGTAAATCTGCCACCTGAGGCAAATTGCTTCACCTCACCTCATGCAAGTGCCAGCCTTGGTGTGGAGGTTATATGGTGTTGCCCAACTAGCTGTCATCCCACACTTTACGGTGCAATTCCTCACCATTTTTCTTAGCACGAAAAATCCACTGTGGGGCAGGGGCAGGAAGTGTGTTTGCGTGTCAAGGTCCCCAAGACCCCCCCCCCAAAATAACACACACATCACACAGAATTTTTGTTTAAGGTTTTTGGAATAATTTTGGCCACAACTTTATTAACATACATGGATGTGAGTGGTTGCTTAGGCATTGCTTAGGACTATCTGTCCCCCCGCCTGGGGACAGAACTGACTTCCAGATTCCAGTGAAAGTCAGTAAGGGGAAACAATATTGGGGAGAAACTGGAGCTGCGCCACAGGCCCTCACCTTCTCTCCGCATGCTCCCAGGAGCTTACGCGGCCCAAACCCGATTCCAGTGATTTGGATGAAAGCATGGCAAGCCCCCCCCCCTTCATGGATCACTGCATTGCCGTGGCGAAGGGGCTTGAATAACTCAGAGAAGGTATGAGCTATGCCGTGCAGGGCCACCCAAGATGGACAGGTCATAGTGGAGAGTTTTGACCAAACGTGATCCACCTGGAGCAGGAACCGGCAAGCCATTCCAGTATCCCTGCCAAGAAAACTCCATGGACAAAGACAATAGGCATATAAAAGTTATGACGCTGGAAGATGAGCCCCTCAGGTCGGAAGGCGTCCAACATGCTACTGAGGAAGAGCGGAGGACAAGTACAAGTAGATTCAGAGCTGATGAAGCGGCTGGGCCAAAGCCGAAAGAACGCTCAGTTGCGGATATGCCTGGAAGCGAAAGGAAAGTCCAATGCTGTAAAGAAAAATATTGCATAGGAACCTGGAATGTAAGAACCATGAACCTTGGTAAGTTGGATGTGGTCAAAAATGAGATGGCAAGAATAAATATTGACATCCTGGGCATCAGTGAACTAAAATGGACGGGAATGGGTGAATTCAGTTCGGATGACCATCACATCTACTACTGTGGGCAAGAATCCCGTAAAAGAAATGGAGTGGCCCTCGTAGTCAACAAAAGAGTGGCAAAAGCTGTACTGGGATGCAATCTCAAAAATGATAGAATGATCTCGATACGAATCCAAGGCAGACCTTTTAACATCACAGTAATCCAAGTTTATGCACCAACCACTGGTGCTGAAGAAACTGAAATTGACCAATTCTATGAAGACTTACAACACCTTATAGAAATGACACCAAAGAAGGATGTTCTTCTCATTATAGGGGATTGGAATGCTAAAGTAGGGAGTAAAGAGATAAAAGGAACAACTGGCAAGTTTGGCCTTGGAGTACAAAACGAAGCAGGGCAAAGGCTAATAGAGTTCTGCCAAGAGAACACGCTGGTCATCACAAACACTCTTTTCCAACAACACAAGAGACGACTGTACACATGGACATCACCAGATAGGCAGCATCGAAATCAGATTGATTATATTCTCTGCAGCCAAAGATGGAGAAGCTCTATACAGTCAGCAAAAACAAGACCTGGAGCTGACTGTGGCTCAGATCATCAGCTTCTTATAGCAAAATTCAAGCTTAAACTGAAGAAAGTAGGAAAAACCACTGGGCCGGTAAGATACAATCTAAGTCAAATCCCTTATGAATACACAGTGGATGTGAGGAACAGGTTTAAGGATTTAGATTTGGTGGACAGAGTGCCTGAAGAACTATGGATGGAGGCTCGTAACATTATACAAGAGGCAGCAACTAAAACCATCCCAATGAAAAGGAAATGCAAGAAAGCAAAGTGGCTGTCCAACGAGGCCTTACAAATAGCGGGGGAGAGAAGGCAAGCAAAATGCGAGGGAGATAGTGAAAGACACAGGAAATTGAATGCAAATAGCAAGGAGAGACAAGAAGGCCTTCTTAAACGAGCAATGCAGAGAAATAGAGGAAAACAATAGAATGGGAAAAACCAGAGATCTGTTCAAGAAAATTGGAGATATGAAAGGAACATTTCGCACAAAGATTTCCATAATAAAAGACAAAAGTGGAAAGGACCTAACAGAAGCAGAAGACATCAAGAAGAGGTGGCAAGAATACACAGAGGAACTATACCAGAAAGAAATGGATGTCTCGTATACCCCAGGTAGTATGGTTGCTGACCTTGAGCCAGACATTCTGGAGAGTGAAGTCAAATGGGCCTTAGAAAGCATTGCTAATAACAAGGCCAGTGGAAGTGAAGCCAAGCTCCTGCAGCCAATCGGAAGTCCCGTCAGACGTTCAGCTTCCAAAAATAGTTCGCAAACCAGAACACTCACTTCCGGGTTTGCGGCGTTCGGGAGCCAAGACGTTCGAGAACTAAGCTTTTCGAAAACCAAGGAACAACTGGAAAACAACTAAGCAGAGCTCTAATCTGTAGTGCAGCTCTGCTGAAAAAGCCTTTTAAAGTACTGGTAATTACTATTACATCTAGAATAGACACACATGGTTTGGTAATGCAAATACAGCAGGATGTCCTGGTGCCAATAGAACATACAGAGGCCAAAGCTTTGCTAATAAAAGCAAATAAAATCCTGCTATCAGCTTTATATGCGTTACACATTCCAGCCATATATTCAGATATTCCATATATTTGAGGCTAAACACGCTAGTGCGTGTAACCATAATACTCAACAGCCATAAATAATGAGTGATGCTTTCCCATAGCATGTAAAATCTAAGATTCTCAAAACACTTTGTAGTCATTTATGTTTCTATGTTCTCCAAACCCAGCTGAATCTCTCTTTAGGGAGCAGTAAATTCAAACACTGAGTACAGAAGTGATTTGTGTAAAGTGAGTCAGTGAGTCAGCAATCCTGCCAGGAACGCAAACAAGGGTTTCTGACTTTTAGTCCTTTGCTGAAACCACTGGCTCCTGTCTTTCTCCCTAGCTCCAGGGTAACTTGGCAAAAGAGATCAAGTAAGCACATAAAAACAAGGAAAGGAAGGGGGGAAAGAAAGAAAAGATAGATATGTTACAGTAGCTTTGTTCATATTTTATAAAAGCCAGACAACACTAGACACTTCTCAGGCATTATCCAACAATAAGTGCCTTGCAGTGCAATCTGTGAAGTGTCTATATTCAGAAGTAATCCCACTGAGTTGAATGGGGTTTACACTTAGGTTTATAGTTCCTTCCCTCCAATCCAGAATCTGTATTTGCTCAGATGTGAATGTGCATTGCTTGCATGTCTCGGATACTCTAGATAAAAGGTTCTCAGATTGTGGTCCATAGAGGACCAGTGGACTTTGAGCTTCATCCTGGTGGCCCACAGTGTCTCTGTGAAGATGCAATTAAAAACCATACAGCCTCTAGCAAAGCACATCACAAAATCTGCAATAGGCAGATCTGGAAGGCTGCACTCCTATATATACACTTACCTGGGAATAAGTACGAGCGAATGCAGTGGGGCTGATTTTTGAATAGAACTGTGTTCATTCATTCAATCAATTCATTGATGCAATCAACAATACAAATAGCATTGTGTTGTGAATGCATTCACGAAATTCAAACTAAGCATGCCGAGTAATTTTAACGAGACACATGCTTATATTTTGCTTTCCAGGCACATTTGTCTGATTCACAGAGTTCACGGGCCTTTTCATCTAAAGAGTTAAGTGTGTGTTTGTTGAGTATGTCAATCATGATCAGTCAGTCAATCATGCAACTAATTCCTTTAGGGGTCATGGTTTCAACAAGGACAACAGTTGACAGCAGAGCTGACAGACCGAGGCCTACCACCTAGATAACAGTTTGTTAATACTAAGTCTTTCCTTGCACAAACAGATGGTACAGTCCATTCAGTATGAGGTAATCCCTCAGGCAATTTTTGACATTCTAACCCAAACAATTCCTGAATGAGGGAGGGAAGGAAATGGAGCCTCTTAGATTTCACTGCTTACTATTTTCCTTAATAATTGCCACATTTCACACTTGATCCAGAGCCTTTGTTGACATATTTTAAAATTACAGAATCAGACTCCCTACAGCTATTTAAATAAAGTATTATCAACACAGATGTAAGAAACCTAGAATATAGGAAAACACACACATATTGTGCTTCAGGGGGAAAAAACAATAACTTAACTTATCCTCTCCAGAATGCATATGCAGGGCAATGGGCAACAGCCTGGGAAAGTCTAATGTGCTAAGTCCATTGAATTAAGGGAGAGGGTTAAGAATCCTCATAACTTTCCCCATAGAAATGGCTGGGACTTAAAAATATCTAACTTGCTCTGGATTGTGAATCTTGATATTAACAGTCTTGAAATTCCCCAGGCAAACCTGCCCATCAATTAAGGTATTTGTTGGAGGCCTTCCAGCTACTCTTGCCTTCTGAAGTTAAGCAACTGGCTTTCAGAAAGAGGGTCTTTTGTCTGGCGGCATGAAAATTATGGCGCTCCTTCCCCCATGCATGCTTGCTAGGTAATTTCTTCACTGTCTTTTTGGAAACTGGGCAAAGTTTATTCTCTTCTCTCAGGCTGTGAATGGTATCTGATGGCTACATACTCTGCCTGTTTAATTTGATGATTGCTGTCTTGAAGTGAACTGAAATGGAGCCCTCTCCCTTTCCCGAACTTCAGAAATGTGGTCTCCAAAATATCAGCCAGCTCAAGATCGATGAGGATTTTTGAGAATTTATTTCAGCATTAATCCAGACCATCAATCTGTTTAGTAAATACTCTGAGAAAATAGCATGGAACATTCCTTACAGCTTTTAATTAATCATAGCAATGTGATTCTTATTATTTCTAGTTTGACGCCAGCTAACTGTATAAGGCCACACCACAGTGGTACTTTAAAGCCATGGCTGTTATATTTCATATATCAGCACTGTGAATAAGACATATTTAGAAGAGAAAATGAATCTAAAAGAGGATTCATCATTCTGAGGCAGCAAGACTGTAATATTAATGAACCTAAGTCAATACTATAGTACAATGTTTGGCTACTCCCCCCCCCATGGGTCTGTTCTAACAAATAGGATTTTATTATATTTAAAAAATGTCAACTTAAAACGTAAAAGAGTTTTTATGGTTTTCAGACCACACACATGATTTAATGTGTTAGTAGAACGACATTCATATGCCTATTATTATACTCTAGAACTTTATAAAGATGTCTTTTTGTTGTCCTGTTTCTAAAAAAGCGAACCCCACAAATACTTCACCAAAAAAGGCAATTATGTGACTTGAATAAATGATGCTTAGGAAGCAAATTTGCATATTAGTCTTATCTGCCTCTGTGGAAGGAGCAAGGAAGGCAGTGAAACCCTATGCCTGTATTTAGACTCCCCTAAATACCTGGATCCAGTAAATATTAGAATTTAATCAATGCTTGCATTATTAAACTGGGTGCCAAACACTGAACGCCTGGAGGCATCTTATGTTAAAATGTAAGTCAGGCCAGTTTCCTCATGAGGTAATTACGTGGGAGATGACCCATTAAACAAGAACAAAGAACAAGTACAAAGGGAAAGCAATGGACTATTAAGAAAGCTAAGGGGTGAGGAGGGTGCTCCTCTAGCTCTGAGTTAGTTAGGCCAGAGTTTGAAGCAGAGTAGAGTTTACAATTGGATTTCAGTGCTGGCCATGCTGTGAGCTAGCAGGGAAAGTTTGCAGCCTGGCCGAGGCAGCAGTCTGTAAAACGCAGCAAGCTAGAAAGACGGCCATGGCCATGGCTGAGGTCTGTTTGAATCCAAGGTTGATGGGAGAATCAAGACCCTCTTGGGGTGTTAATGCTGTGAACCCCTCCATCATAGGCTCAGGTTGTACATTTGTGTAAATAAACCATATATCACAAAGACACCACAGTCACTGATGTGCCTCATTTCTGAAAGGAAACACGAACCACCTGCAATCTTTGCACTGCTTGGAGATTGGGTTGGTGTGCAACCATCTAACTCATTTCATCAACCTTTTGTTCAAACTCTACTGATATATAAATCACTGATTATATGTCCTTCATTGTTTCTAATGTACTCTAAGAGGTTGCCTATCTAGCTCTATCTATCTATCTATCTATCTATCTATCTATCTATCTATATCTATCTATCATCTATCTATCTAATCTATCATCTCTCTCTCTCATCTATCTATCTCTATCTGTGTCTGTCTGTCTCTCTGTATATCATCTATCTATCTATCTATCTATATCTATCTATATCTATATCTATATCTATATCTATATCTATATCTATCTATCTATCATCTATCTATCTATCTATCTATCTATCTATCTATCTATCTATCTGTATCTATCATCTATCTATCATCTATCTATCTGTCTGTCTGTCTATATCTATCTATTACCTCATTCCTTGAAAACATTTTCAGGATGAAGTTATGATCAGGAAGCTTTGGCCTTCCAGATGTAGCCAGAATGAAACTACCATCATCCATGATCATTAGCCATGCTGACTGGTGCTAATGGGAGCTGGAGTAACATCTGGAGGGGCCCTGGCTCTCCTCACTCTTTTTATAGGTAGATTTCACCCTATCAACGTACCTTTTCTCCATAGCAGCCGTGTGGTGCCTGTAATTCTGCTCAGGATCAGCCTGCATAATAGCAAAATGAGGACAAGGTGATGCATTGAAGACACAATCTACTGGGAGGTTCTCCTGCACATCCCCTAGGAACTGGAGCCGCACAACAGCACAGCGCCTCTTGAGTACGTGTCCCAAATTCCTTGTCTTAATGGGAGGCTGGGAGACATCACCGTACTCTGTACCAGATTAATTTTGCTATACAAACCTGGACAATAAAAATGCTTAAACCTCCACTACAACTCTCTGGGGGTATGGCAGCTATTATCCCCTATTGAGTTGGTACTTACCATTCAGAGCCTGAACAATTCATACAGAAAAATAAACCATAACATTCCTGTTTATTATTGCTTTAGCTGAGAGGCGCTGACATTAAACAGTTCTGCACTGCTGCTATAAATCAGCAGGCTGCGGATGTTCGCAGCGTGAGACTGCAGCTCCTTGGAAACAGCACTCATCAAGGCAACCAGCTGCCAGAATTCTTCAAATTAAACTGTTATTACTGTAGTATTCATTAGTCAGTTACTGACTATTAAGATATTTTTATATCAACGCCATTGACACTGGATATTGCTTTTTAATATGCAAGTTATATATAAACATGATTAAGTGGTTCGTGTAGATTGGACGGCTTTGGTTATAGCTCATGCTCCCCCTCTGAAGGGGCTCGGCTGTTAAAGTGGCTGCCCTGGTCTCTGCAAATTAATTTTCTGTTTCGGCTGTGATTGATCGATTGTGCCCTCCAAGACAGGCATTTGTGTGTCGGGCAAGAGAGGAGTTTATCCTAGGCGGGGAGGGGGGCAGGAGATATTAATCTGAAGCCCTGTGAAAGGTTTTGGGTTCAGCACCAATATACCCAAAGCCTTTGAGGCCTTGTAAATATCTCTTATGGGATAAAGGAAAGCTGTTGTTGTGAATCAATGGGTCCTTCCAGGGAGCCAGAGGCTAAAGAATGACCGACAGACAGCAAGAGGGTGGAGCTTGGTCACACACCCCTTTATTTACAACTGCCTCGGTTGGCCAATTGATGTGGCGCTGTAGTTGGACATGTGCACTGCACATCCCTTCTTTTCCCCCGGAGAATAGAGCCAAGGGTTGAGTCGCTCACAACCTAGGTGCACCCAGTACCCAGGGATGCCAACAGTGTTTTCTGGGCCCAGGACACTGTATATAGATTTGCCCCTCTGTTGCACTTGCATGTTCAGACCCAGAGACCTCCGCCCTAAATAAACACACATTTGACTCAAGTTTTAGTTTTGGTTTTTGGCAGAATTTAGGCCACAGCTTTATTGATTCCAGAAAAGTGAGTGGTTGCATAGGCTCTGGTTTGACTAGCTCCCTACACCCTTGCAGGTAGCGCTGACCGAGAACTCTATCATAGGTCAGCCAAGGGTGAACACCTGAGGTAGGTGGAAAGCCTGGGAATAGACTATGTCAACTCCTCAGATGCTCCCCTGGACTCAGGCACAGGCACAACCCCCTCTCGGGGTTGACCAAACCAAGTTGAGTCCCTGGATTCCTTTAACGGAATACCCTTCATATAGGGATGGTGAAACCGCTCTCCCATACCTATCACATGAACCAGTGCATATCCGCAACCTTACAAGTTGTGACGATTTGGTATGTGGCAGGCGAAACCCAAATGGCTACAGCTAATCAGCCAAGTGGGGAAAATTCCTGCCATGCCCCTGTCCCAATGACAGATTACACACGACGGCATAGCAAGGTCAAGCGCACAAGCCCTAAATATAGGGAGAGGTGGGCGGGTGTTCCGATGCACGCGCCGAAAGAGGAAGCTCTGGTACACGTGCATGGGTTTATATAGGTCCCTCGATCCGTTTAGACTGTACCCCTTTGGCTAGATTAAACCCAGCAATGAGGGACCTACCAATCGGGTGTTGTGGCTATCCAATAGACCCACCCACAACCAGGAGGTCAGTCTCCAGGTCTTACTGCAACACGTGCCCTCTTTTAGGGAGGACACGATTTGCCAAAGAAGGCACAATTAGTGTACAACGCATTTCACATGCAAGTTTGTACGCTCTTTTGAAGGTGGGGGCAGAACACCCCCATAATAAATCAGAAGTCATACACAAGTTTACGCTGTCCAACAGACAGAATATCAGCAGGGAACACTTTCTCCTAAAATTGTACCTCCACATTACAAAAGGCGAAGGGCAGATCCACACAAGACATTGAAAGCACATCCAAAGTACATTGCAAGCACATGACACACACACACACACCCCCCGAAACCTGTGAAGTGTATTTTTTTGTTAAGGGCATTGAAAGACTTTTAAGGGGAAACTGAGGGTCCCGGAATTCTTTGGAGGGAACTCATGCACTTATAATTTCTGTTCAATCCAATATATGCCTGCCACATAACTGTTTGTTGTTGTTGGTTTGTTTTGTAAATAAATTTTATTTAAGATTCGACAAGAACAATAAACCAACAGTAACTAATACATCCATTCACTACAGTTGACCATCTTTAACAATAGTTAACAAACTACAAAACATCACTTTGAGTTATTCAACTTTTCATATTTAACTTTATCTCTTTCTTAGCAGATCAGAAAAAAAGAAGAAAGTGAGAAGAGAGAAAAAATTAAGAAAGGAAGAAAGGAAGAAAGGAAAAAAAGAAAAAAGAATAAAGGGAAAGAAATTGATAAAGAAAAGAGCTAAATAAAATAAAATAAATACATTTAACTTCCGATTAGACTCATTGTATTATTATTTCTATTGTTCTTTTACACACAGTTCCAAATTACTGTATTACTTTCTTTGTTTTTATCAGATACCAAAGATCTTTTGCTTCTTATTTTACAAGAATCATTCTAGTTCTGCCAGGAGATGTTTGTTATTACAATAGTTTTCCTGGTATTCTTTAAGGATTTTCCGTTTTTTCTGTACTTTCTGTTTTGGATATCCTCTAACTCTCCCTGTCATCATAGCCAACTGCAGATATTCTATCATTTGGACCTGCCACTCATTTATCGTAGGCGTTTTATCGCTTTTCCACTTTTCCTGCCACATAACTGTTAAAGGCAGCAAGAGTCTTTTTACTCTGAAGAGTAGGATAAACTGCCAAATAGTAGTAGCAATGATAATGACGACGACAATAATAGCAAGAACTAAAATATCAAAAGGAACAGGAGCAAAATTAACAGTAAAAATATACTGACCTGGATTGAATTTCATGGGGACTCCAAGGAGGCAGTCCATGAGAAAATGTTGGCCATAATACAATCACAGCACAGAGCAGCTACGGCTGCCATTGGCTCCTTTGTGGCAGCATGGCACATAGATGCGCCTTTATTCTCCCAAAGCACCTAGAGTCATAGAATTGTAGAGTTGGACCACAAAGGCGATGTAGCCCAACCCCTTGTCATGCTCAACATGGGGCTTGAACCCATGACCTAGAATCTTATGCTCTACTTACTGAGTTAAACAGCAGGGTAACCTGTGAGGTAGGCTGAGGAAAAGTGATTATCCCAAGGGAATCCTATGTGTGCTTTGTTGTTGTTGTTTAGTCGTTTAGTCATGTCTGACTCTTCGTGACCCCATGGACCAGAGCACGCCAGGCACTCCTGTCTTCCACTGTCTCCCGCAGCTTGGTCAAACTCATGCTGGTAGCTTTGAGAACACTGTCCAACCATCTTGTCCTCTGTCGTCCCCTTCTCCTTGTGCCCTCCATCTTTCTCAACATCAGGGTCTTTTCCAGGGAGTCTTCTCTTCCCATGAGGTGGCCAAAGTACTGTAGCCTCAGCTTCAGGATCTGTCCTTCCAGTGAGCACTCAGGGCTGATTTCCTTAAGAATGGATCAGTTTGATCTTCTTGGAGTCCATGGGACTCTCAAGAGTCTCCTCCAGCACCACAGAGCCAGTGTGGTGTAGTGGTTAAGAGCGGTAAACTCATAATCTGGTGAACTGGGTTCACTTCCCCGCTCCTCCACATGCAGCTGCTGGGTGACCTTGGGCTAGTCACACTTCTTTGAAGTCTCTCAGCCCCACTCACCTCACAGAGTGTTTGTTGTGGGGGAGGAAGGGAAAGGAGAATGTTAGCCGCTTTGAGACTCCTTAAAGGGAGTGAAAGGCGGGATATCAAATCCAAACTCTTCTTCTTCTTCACAATTCAAAAGCGTGCTTACTTGGGAATAAGTCCTGTGGAACTAACTCCCGAACCGACCTGTATAGGATTGCTTCAAATCTAAATGCGGAAAATAGCCCAGTCCAAATCTGCCACGCTATGTGAGTTGAGACCGCATTCAGCGCAGTGCCTAACTAGAAAATACCCATCATTCTCACCAACAGCGGTAAGTATAAATACTATGAGGTGGCGCGTAAGGCCAGAGCGATGAAAGAGATGCTGTTGGCTGTTTGTGCAATTTGTGCTCTCTTTTTCCTGCTTGTGTTTGGCAAGCGTGCCCCTCTTCCTTGGAGAAAATTGCCGTGTGCTTTGTTGTTGAATGGAAACAGAGCTCAAGAGTGTCAACAACGTTTTCTTGTCCTTATGGAAGTCATAACCGACTGCTATGGCAACGCTCAAAGCTCTCTGTGTTCTCCGAGGAAGGCTAATGATGAACGAGGTAACCAAAAAAAATGATCGGGTAGATGAAGCACCAGCAAGACTGAGAAAGTCCTCCTTCCCAGATGAATGAAATTAGCCGTTAGAAACAGAAATGCTCTTGATGTGGCTGAAATTTTGAGGTGTTGGGTTCTCCGCTTCGATGGTTTCAATTGTTCATTCGTATGTTTGGACCAGGGATGGAGAACCTCAGTCCCAAGGGATGAATGTGGCCCTTCAAATCTTTCCATCTGGCCCTTGGGACTCAGCAATCCCATTTGCTGAACCACAACCCATACTGACCCTCCTTTGCACCCTCCTTGAGCATTTCCCATGGGTGATTCTTGTCCTGATCTCTGAGAATGTTCCTTGCATGCCTCTATGCTTTGGCTCACCTGGAGAGCTTGCACGAGTGTGTCCAAAAAGCAGCCTACCATACAGAGGTAAAAATCCACCTCTTGTCTCCAATGCTTGTTCTCTACTGGTTTTCATGAGTTTAAAAAACGTTTTTGTGTTGTTGTACACCACCCTGATATTTTAAGAGCGAGTGGTATAGAAACAGCTTTATACAGTGGTACCTCGGGTTACATATGCTTCAGGTTACATACGCTTCAGGTTACAGACTCCGCTAACCCAGAAATAGTGCTTCAGGTTAAGAACTTTGCTTCAGGATGAGAACAGAAATAGCATGGCGGCAGCAGGAGGCCCCATTAGCTAAAGTGGTGCTTCAGGTTAAGAACAGTTTCAGGTTAAGTACGGACCTCCGGAACGAATTAAGTAGCTAACCCGAGGTACCACTGTACATTAATATTTCCATCAAACCATTCATCTCTCTTTGAGATATTTGTTTCTTGGAGAGAGAGAGAAAAAAAAACACGGATTATTATGAAGTATACCGGTAGTTTTATTTTGCCTGTACCTTTTAAAAGGACTGTTCGGGCCATTCATATTTAAAGTCATATTTATTTTTGCCCAGATTCCCCTATATCTCTATTTTTTAAGCATAAATCAATGTGGCAAATGGGAGCAGTCCTTTATTATGAAAAAGAAGAAAAGAGGAAAGTGAAAAGCAACATAATCAAATAAGTGGGAGGGTATTTTAGCCCTTACACAAAAACACACAGGCAGGCAGGCAGACAGCTAGATATGCACATGCATATAGACTTTATTTGGAATGGCATTTTCTGCTCTAGCTGTGATTCCTACTCTGCAGTTAATGCAGATAAAGTCTTTCCATCTCTGTGGACGCTGTTGATTTCCTCTGCAACTTCCTCATGTGATTTCAAGTCATGAAGCAAAGTTCTAGGGTCTTCCCCAATTTATAAAGAAATCTTAGGACTTCTCAGTTACTTAAAAGGAATCCTTATATATCAGATGCCCTCCATCGTAGGCACTTTGTCAAAGAAATAATCTCCTTCCTTTTCCTCAACGTTGTAAGAGAAACCCCAGTTAAAATAAAGTCTCCTCTATCCAACTCCACTTTAGGCTGCTCTGTGAATGATTCTAACACTTTGCTCGTAGAGGCCCAATCCATAAATTTAATTAGTATGTCTCTAGGGGACTTGTTTTATTTGCATATGTACTGTTAATCCTGAATGTCGTATCAATTAGAATTTCTACCCCTACATCTGTTCCCACACAGCCAACAAATTATTCAGTCAGACAAACTTTTATATCCTCTCCTTTGAGGTTCTCATTCAGGCCCCCAAGTCTAATGTTATGCTTTCTGATCTTATTTGCCAACGCATAAATTGTGACATATAGAGAGTCAAGGTCTTGTTCTTGTGGTATAAAATAATATGGGTTAGAAATTTCAGACAAGCACAAAGACTCACTAAAACCTTGGTGTAATTTTTTTGCTTATTGGCATAATAAACCAAAATATACACATAATGGGCAAACAGTCTTAGAGGTAATCTAATCAGAAATCATTCTAAACTAACCATCAGATTTATGCAGAAGGATAGGTAAAGGGACCCCTGACTGTTAGGTCCAGTCGTGGCCAACTCTGGGGTTGCGGCGCTCATCTCACTTTATTGGCCAAGGGAGCCGGCGTACAGCTTCCGGGTCATGTGGCCAGCATGACTAAGCCACTTCTGGCGAACCAGAGCAGCACACGGAAATGCCGTTTACCTTCCCACCAGGGTGGTACCTATTGATCTACTTGCACTTTGATGTGCTTTCAAACTGCTAGGTTGGCAGGAGCAGGGACCGAGCAACGGGAGCTCACCCCGTCACGGGGATTCGAACCGCCGACCTTCCGATCGGCAAGCCCTAGGCTCTGTGGTTTAGACCACAGCGCCACCTGCGTCCCTATGCAGAAGGATAAGTGTATACAAATGGCATGCATTCTAATATTCTCTGGAATATCTGCGACAATTCTCTGCCCATTTCCCCTACCCATTTCAATCTGTGATTCTTCATTTGCTGATAGTAATTCTTTTCCTGTTAATATTAAATGATGTATAACAAAGCCATTGATTTTTTATTAAAGAAGTTTTATAGTTTTAAAAAAAACCTGTTGCCAATAACCCATTTGTGATATCTCAATGAGCTGTTTACAGCATCCTAGAGCTGCAATCCTAAGCACACTAACTATGGAACAAACCCCATTGAATCTGGTGCAGTGATTATAGTGTTGGAGTAATGCCAAGGAGAGTCAGGTTCAAATCACCACTCAGACATGTAGCTTCCTGTGTGACCCTGGGCTAGTCACTGTATTTCAGCCTAATCTACCTCACAGGGTTGTTGTGAGATAAACATGGAGAGCGAGGAAGAACTGCCTTTAGCTTCTTGGAGAAAAGCTGGGCAATATGAGTACTAAATAAACACAAACTAATAAAATGCAGTTTTCTTCCAAATAAGCACCAAATTGTACTGTAATACCTTTGTATAATGATTTTTTTAAAAAAGAACTCATGGTGATATAAAGATAAACCATATGCACAATATGAACAGGATATATTGTAGATGATACAGTTTAGGAAACTTCCATGATTTTAAATATCCATATTTAAAAGTCTGAGTATGTTGTTAAAGACCCCTTTCCACAATCTGTTGTGGTACAGTTTACAACATTATTTCAGGACCTCATTTTGCTGCAGGTGTGCAAGAAACAAATACTTTTCTCCTGTGCTTGTTTTCTAAAACAAAATGTTTAGGGGTACTCTCATTTTGACTCAAGAAAACCACCATTTTATAGTTAAATCGGGAAAAATAAATACAGTATATGGACAAAACTACAAAGAACATGCATTACTCATAGTGAAATACTGCCCCTCAGTGAGGCCAAACTTTCATCAGTAAAACACCACACATCCACATTCCACACTGCTTCACACATTAAACGCTCGCTTCCGTCTGAGACTCAGGAAACACTGGGAAAGGAAATGAAGCCTCCATTGGAGGTAGTAACAAGAAAACTGATCAATCACCATGCTGGATTCCAACTCCTACTTCACACATTAAACCAGGGGTCAGCAAACTTTTTCAGCAGGGGGCTGGTCTGCTGTCCCTCGGACCTTGTGGGGGAACCGGACTATATTTTTTTTGGGAGGGGTATGAACGAATTCCTATGCCCCACAAATAACCCAGAGATGCATTTTAAATAAAAGGACACATTCTACTCACGTAAAAACACGCTGATTCCCGGACCATCCGCAGGACGGATTTAGAAGGCAATTGGGCCGGATCCGGCCCCTGGGCCTTAGTTTGCCTACCCATGCATTAAACGCTCGCTTCTGTCTGAGACTCAGGCAACACCGTGACAGGGAATGAGACCGCCACCAGGGGTATCAATGGAACTGATGATTCACCGAGCTAGAGAAGAAACTAAAAAAATTATATATATTTTTAGTTTTTTCTCCCGTTAGATTCACAAAATGTTTAGGAGCATGCGTCCCCCCAGAAAAAAGCACTGCTCCCCCCCCCCCAAAGCATGCCACTTTCAAGTTAAATATGTTCTTAGTGACATAAGAAGTCAGCTTTGCCCCTGGTAATGATTAACAGGGGGTTGCATTGTCCTATATCACTTTTCCACTTTCTGGATGAGTCGTGATGACTTTATCACCTTTCTGTTGCCATCTGTCTTTCATCTTTCTGCCTGGTGGTACTCTTATCACTGGGAAAGTTGCAGCTAGGTTCTTCTGAAGTCTTGCTGTTTGCATTTGACGTTTCTTTCCTCTGTTGAGCTCCTGCAGCCTCAAAACATGAGCCTGTAGGATTTAGCCTTAATAAAGAGAAAAGCTGCAGAACATTGAATCTGATACTTTGGTAGTGGGGATAACAACACTTTGGATACTATTCTTAGAGTTCCCCGTCAACTTGAGATACTGTAAGCCCTCTGGAGAGCATTCTTAAAGTCTAGATGCACAGAACTATCTTTTTTTCCCAGTGGCTTGCATTCAGATACATAAAAGAATAACCATCTCAGTGCAGTTGTCTTAAAGACAAACTGATTCAAAACAGCCTGAGGTTATTAATATTGTAAATCTTTTCATAAAGATTTGATCTGATATTCTGTATGAAATAAAACAAAATTAAGCACGCTGTAGATCTCCCACAATGGCCATAATGGCAAGCAGCAGTTGGCTGTGTTTGTGTGGAATAAAGCCATTCATTACATCTGGCCTTAAGAACAGCACATCATTATTATGTGATTTATTTATTTTTAAATAACCAACTAAAGTTGAGGTTAGCAAATACCAAATAAATGCCAAGTCGATAATGAGCCATTGATTAATATCATTTGTCTTCTGGAACTGGGAAGATTATTGGAACTTATTTGCATTCTTTGACTGTCAACCATTAGAATGATCAGAGAACAGTAAATGTTGAAAAGTGGGCATTCCAGAAAACCTATTGCTATGGAGAAGGGAAATGATACTTTTTATATCAACTTAGGTAAATCAAGTTTCCACCATGAAGGGAAATAAGGTTTACTGGGGTGGGTTGGGGGAGCACAAATAAACAAGAACCACAAACTGCAGGTTGCAAGAAAAGGAGGAA